CTTCGGGGGCGGCGAGGCGAAGGAAGCGGAGCGCGCCGAGTCCGCTGGCTGGTCGGCCAGCGGGGGGCAGCGCGCGAGGCGAGCGAGGCGAAGGAGAGGAGGCTCGCGGCTTGCGGCTCGCGGCTCGCGGCTCGAAGCTTGAGGCTCGCGGCTCGAGGCTCGCGGCTCAACGCCCGAGGCTCGCGGCTCGAGGCTAGCGGCTCGAAAATCGAGGCTCGCGGCTCGAGGCTCGAGGCTCGCGGCTCGAGGCTCGCGGCTTCGGCAAACTGGGCGAGGAGGCTCGAGGCTCGCGGCTCGAGGCTCGATGGGTTCGTAAGCCTTCTGGGCCTCTCGTGGGCCTCTGGAGACCTCCAGGGGGGGTCTCCCGCAACCTCCGGTGATATCCGGAGAACTCCGGGGACCTGGGGAGTGGGGAGATGGAGGGAGATGGAGGGCAGGAGGGAGAGAAGGGAGGAGGGGTGGAAAGAGAGTTTGGGGCCTCTGGGGAGGGCGGGAAACCATGTCCCTGGTTTGGGGAAGAGGTTCTGAGCGAATCTGGGGGCGTTGGGACCAAACTGGACGAACAGGCCTCGGAGGCGGGGGCGAGCACACAGGGAGGGTCCCGTCACCTCCCCCCCTCCTCCTCCTCCTCCTCCTCCTCCTCCTCTTCCTCCTCCTCCTCCTCCTCACCTCTCCTCCTCCTCCTCCTTCTCTTACGCCCCTCCTATCCTCCCTTCCTCCTCCTCCGCCTTATCCTCCTCGTCAGTGCGCGCTCCTCCTCTCTCTCCTCCTCCTCCTCCTCCTCCTCCTCATCCTCCTCCTCCTCCTCCTCCTCCTCCTCCTCCTCCTCCTCCCTCCTCCTCCTCCTCCTCCCCCCCCCTCCCTCCCTCCCTCCCTCCCTCCCTCCCTCCCTCCCTCCTCCACTCCCTCCCTCCCTCCCTCCCTCCCTCCCTCCCTCCCTCCCTCCCTCCCTCCCTCCCTCCCTCCTCCCTCCCTCCCTCCCTCCCTCCCTCCTCCCCCTCCCTCCCTCCCCCCCTCCCTCCCTTCCCTCCCCCTCCCTCCCTCCCTCCCTCCCTCCCTCTCCCCTCCCCTCCTCTCCCTCTCCCTCTCCCTCTCCCCTCCTCCCTCTCCCTCTCCCTCTCCCTCTACTCCCTCTCCTCTCCTTCTCCCTCTCCCTCTCCCCTCTCCCTCTCCCGCTCCCCTCCCACTCTCCCTCTCCCTCTCCCTCTCCCTCTCCCTCTCCCTCTCTCTCTCCCTCTCCCTTTCCCTCTCCCTCTCCCTCTCCCTCTTCCCTCTCCCTCTCCCTCTCCCTCTCCCTCTCCCTCTCCCTCTCCCTCTCTCTCCCTCTCCTCCTCCTCCTCCTCCTCCTCTCTCCTCCTCTCCTCCTCCTCCTCCTCCTCATCCTCCTCATCCTCCGCATCATTATAATCATCATCATCATCATCAGCATCATCATCATCATCATCATCATAATCATCATCATCATCATCATCATCATCATCATCATCATCATCTCATCATCATCATCATCATCATCATCAATCATCAACATCATCATCATCATCATCATCATCATTATCAGCATCAGCATCAGCATCAGCACCAGCATCAGCATCAGCATCAGCATCAGCAGCATCACCATCATCATCATCATCATCATCATCATCACCATCACCATCACCATCACCATCACCATCACCCTCATCATCATCATCAGCAGCAGCAGCATCAGCATCAGCATCAGCATCATCATCAGCAGCAGCAGCAGCATCAGCATCAGCATCAGCATCATCACCAACATCAGCACCAGCATCAGCATCATCATCACCATCACCACCAACACCACCACCACCATCATCATCACCATCATCATCAGCAGCATGATCATCATCATCAGCATCATCATCACCATCACCATCACCATCATCATCATAATCAAACACATCAGCATCATCATCAGAATCATCAGAATCAGCAGCATCATCATTATCATCATCAGCAGCTTTATCATCATCAGCATCCTCATCGTCATCATCAGCATCATCATCAGCATCATCATAATCATCAGAATCATCATCATAATCATCATCATAATCATCAGCAGCAGCATCATCGTCATCATCATCACCATCATAATCGTCCTCGTATTCGTCATCGTCATCATCATAATCATCAGTACTGTCATCGTATGCCTCCTATTCCTCATCTTCTAAACGATACTACCAACAATGAGATTCCAGAGAAAAACGAAAAATCATGACAAATAAATATCAGAACAATAACATCACAAAACAAAACAATAATACAAGAGATAACAGAAACACATAGATGCGAATAATACTAATACTCATAATGATAATAGTAGTGATCATCATCATCAGCATCGTCATCATTAGCAGCATCAGCATCATCATCAGCATCAGCATCAGCATCATGACTAGCATCAGCACCAGCATCAGCGTCATCATAAACTCACCGCCGCTTCCACAACCATCATCAGCATCAGCAACATGATCATCATCAGCAGCATCAGCAGCATCACCATCATCATCATTGTCACCAGCATCATCATCATCATCATCATCATCATCATCAGCAGCATCATCATCGGCATTGACGTCATCATCATCGTCATCATCATCGGCAGCATCATCATACTCCTCATCATCGTCACTCCTCCTCGTTCCCGCTCATCCTCGCTCATCTTCCCTCATCGTTCCGCCATCTCGTCCTCGTCCTCCTTGTCGTCGTCACAAAACATCACCATCAGACTCCTCATGTGCATCATCGTAAGCCTCATCAGCCTCATCACCGTTCTATCAGCACAGCCACAACCACCATTACCACAATCACATTCATCGTCATGGTCTCTTCATCGTCCTCATCACGATCATCGTCGTCATCATCATCAGCAGCATCATCAACATCCTCCATCCATCTATCTATACATCCTACCTCGCAACGGTGCGGCTCGAGAGATCGAATCGGGCATCGGCGCACATGGGGCTGTTGCAGTTGTGCCGGCGACCAGACAACCAAAGTCATGAGCAAGGCTGAACACGAATGTAAGGCCGAGGCACTCGGTGCGCGAGCAGCGCGGCAGCTCTCAGGAGACGCTAGAGCTTACACATTTTCCGTACTGCGCGGCGCACGCTCCTGAACCCAAAACACGGGAGGTGAACGCGGGAAAGCATCGCACCCAAGTCTTCCCATGCCCCGAAGCGGCACCGTCATGTAGAGGGCTAGGAGTGCGAACTGCGCGGGTGCCAAGGGATAGGCCGCATGCGAAGCCTATGACCGCAGTGGAGGCCGCCCAAATAGGCAGGCAGGGAGAGCCTTGCTGCCCTGGAGGCGGGCCGCTATCATGAAGCCACGACCAGAACCAAAGCCTTCAACACGAAACTGGGCTCACGGGCCAGGAAACGCCGCTTCTGGGCATCTGTGCGGACACTAAGCTTTGACTGTTCGGCCCTGCGGCCGGATTCGGCTAAGTATCTCCTCCCCGTCTCCGTCACACAGAAGACTGCACGCTCTCTACGTTCAGTCTCGCTCGCTTCTAGCTTGACCCACCGTCCCACCCGTATGAACTGTGGCGTGACCAAAGACATGGTCCCTAGCGGCTCGTAGTCGGGAGAGGAGCCGGAACGAAAGGTGACCAGGGCCCCGAGCGCAGCATCCCCCAGAGCAGCAGGAATGATTCAGAGAAAAACGAAAAGGTTAGGAGGAAGGGAAGGAGGGAAGGAGGGGTAGGCGGGAATTGGAATCATAGGCGGCTTGATCAATGTGCCTCAGGAGCAAGAGTTCTCAGTCCGCCAGGCAGCGTGGAAAAGAACAGAAACGGGGAGGGGAGGAGGAAGAGGAGGAGGAGGACGACGACGTCGACGCAGTGAATCACGACGTCGCACGATTTTCCGCCGCCGGGCCCTCGAGGCTCGAATTACGATGTCCTCAGGGCCCTTGCTGCATCCCGTGGAGGCTCAATCCTCAAACCTGAGGATCTGCTGGGGCGCGTTAAGTGACCTCTTGCGCCTGTCGCGTCTTCTCGCGTGACTTTTTCGGCCCCAGGAGCCAAGAGGGCCCCAAGGGGCCCGAAGACGGTCTAAGAGGGCGGTGAATCGCTGAAAAATCGGTCCAAAACGCCCACGATAGCCTCCAGTCGGCCGAAAACACGCTTCAGTCGCCCCAAGAAGCCTCCAAGAGCCTCTTCCAAAGGGCCCCAAACCGGTCCGGCCCTCCCCAGGAGACTCCAAGGCGGCTCCTCACGGCTCCACGGCGGCCAAGTTCAAGGCTCTGAGAGGGTCTCTGAAGACCTCAGCTGGCACTACAATGGCCTCAAGACACCCCAAGAAGAAGCTTCTAAGACGCTTCCAAAGGGCTTCCAGAAGGCCCCCAAGAGGGCCCCAATAAGCATCAACCGTCACACTACCCTTGAAAACCTGACATGTTCAGCAGATTCGCATTTTTGATGTTCAAAGCGTCCAAAATGGCCTCTGGGACCTCCAACAAGATCGCCATGGCCTCTGGGACCTCCAACAAGATCGCCCCAAAACGGCCCGAAAGGCCCCAAGAAGGACCCGAGGCTCCGAGGCCTCCAACACCGCCTCAAGACGGCCCACGGGGCCCCCAAGAGGGCGCCAAGACGGTCCAAGAACCACCCCAGACGACCCCGCAATGCTCACGGCCCCCGGGAGCGGCTCCTCCCAGACGAGGACCATCGATGCGAAGCCAACGCGCCCCAAGCCCGACGCCATCTCGCTCGCGCGGATGGCGCCGCGCCCGACCGTCTCCAGGCACCAGTGTGCCACCCGCGCCGCCCTCGCCCCCGGGGCCCGCGATGTCGGCAGCGCAGTCGCAGTGGAAGCCAATCCAATCGACCAAGAGGCCGCCCCGCGTCTTGGCCCTCTGCGCCGGGAAGCCGAAGACGCCGACGAGGATGACCGTGAAGAGGGCGGCTAATCTCCCGCAGCGCGCGCGGCTGATCGCCCCCAGGTCGTCGGCGCAGGAAGGCTGCCCCAAGGGCC